CCAGCAACTCCAATTCCTACTTCCCAAAGAGCTGCCAAACTGTTAGCACATGAACACTAAGGTGATAAATACCGCCACTGTGGGCTATGAAAGTACCACAAGCAAGTTTGGCAGTAAGGTCCTCAGTGGCCTTGAGAGACCCCTCAGTCCCTCCACTCCTCAGTTGATGTGGGATTCCCCTCTGTATGCTATGAATACCATTAGTTAATAAAGAAACTGGCTTGGTCTGATAGGGTAGGACAGAACTAGGTGGGGTGGGGTGGGGGGACTAAACTGAGTGCTGGGAAAAAGAAGGGCAAAGTCAGGAAGAAGCCATGGAGCCACAACTGGAGACAGACGCCAGAACTTAACCCGGTAAGCCACAGCCTCATGGAGATATACAGATTAATAGAAATGGGTTAAATTAATATGTAAGGGCTAGCCAATAAGAATCTAGAGTTAATGGGCCAATTGATGATTTAATTAATATAGTTTCTGTGTGGTTATTTCTGGAGTCTGGGTGGCAGGGAAACAAACAAGTGGGAAGCCTAAACGCAATACCAGTGGGCACCAGATGCACGCAGAATACTGTGCACTAGACACGCTGTTTAATTCTTCAACACAGTGCTCACAAAACATTTCCTCACGCGACAACACTTACGAAGAAAGAGAAGCATGTTAAAGTCTCAAGCGAAGGAGATGGAGAGGGAAGAAAGAGACATGAGTAAGCCTGAAGACAGAGGGGAGCCCATTCTGAGCCAACAGCAGAATGGGGCTCCCGGGTCTCTGCTGCAGAGCTGCTGCAATGGAACACTCAGAAGCAACTTCAGGAAGGAGGGGCTTAGTTGTCTCAGGAGCCAAGTACCAAGCATTACTGTGGGAAGTCACAGCAGGGGAGCTGCAGGCAGCTGGTCACCTGCTAACTACATCAGGGCTCTTGCTGGCTTCCATGTCTCTACTTAGAGAGCCTAGAATCCCACCCACAGAGTGCCAGTCAACATAGCCACCAGGCACCCCAGAGATTGCTGATTCCACCATGGCACTCCAGTTACCTGTACTGCTCACTAATTTCACCAGCTGCACAACCACAGACGGAGAAATGTCAAGTATTTCCAGATGTGCCCTGAACTGTACCAGGGGTTACCAGGACAAAGTCATAGGCTAACAGAACGCTTCAGCAGGGAGACACTGAATCTCGTGTGCTATGAAGCCATGTCAGTCACCTGCACTGCGCCCATCACCCTACAGAGAGCGGAAAGGAGACAGAGAAGACTCAGGATTTGAGTGACTTTATCTGCAAGCAGCTAGATTAAACTTTCTGCTGTCAGGCAGAAACAGAGAAAAAGAAAAGGGCATTTAGTTGATAAAATAAAATTCAATTATCTAAAAAAGGCAAAGACAAAGAAAACACCATTTGTTCTACTGAGTGCTGGATGTGAACATCCTGCCTCCTACATCAGCTATGTTTGCTGCAGTGTGTTCCCGGTGTTCAGGGACACAGTGTTGCAGTGTGTTCCAGTGTGCAGGGACACAGTGAGTGTTGCAGTGTGTTCCCAGTGCGCAGAGACACAGTGAGTGTTGTAGTATGTTCCCAGTGTGCAGGGACACAGTGTTGTAGTGTGTGTTCCCAGTGTGCAGGGACACAGTGTTGTATTGTATGTTCCCAGTGTGCAGGGACACAATGAGTGCTGTAGTGTGTTCCCAGTGTGCAGGGACACAGTGTTGTAGTGTGTTCCCAGTGTGTAGGGACACAGTGAGTGCTGTAGTATGTTCCCAGTGTGCAGGGACACAGTGTTGTAGTGTGTTCCCAGTGCGCAGGGACACAGTGTTGTAGTGTGTTCCAGTGTGCAGGGACACAGTGTTGTAGTGTATGTTCCCAGTGTGCAGGGACACAGTGTTTCAGTGTGTTCCCAGTGAGCAGGGACACAGTGTTGTAGTGTGTTCCCAGTGTGCAGGGACACAGTGTTGTAGTGTGTTCCCAGTGTGCAGGGACACAGTGAGTGCTGTAGTGTGTTCCCAGTGTGCAGGGACACAGTGTTGAGTGTGTTCCCAGTGTGCAGGGACAGTGTTGTAGTGTGTTCCCAGTGTGCAGGGACACAGTATTGTAGTGTGTTCCCAGTGTACAGGGACACAGTGTTGTAGTGTGTTCCCAGTGTGCAGGGACACAGTGAGTGTTGCAGTGTATTCCCAGTGTGCAGGGACACAGTGTTGCAGTGTGTTCCCAGTGTGCAGGGACACAGTGAGTGTTGCAGTGTATTCCCAGTGTGCAGGGACACAGTGTTGTAGTGTGTTCCCAGTGTGCAGGGACACAGTGAGTGTTGCAGTGTGTTCCCAGTGTGCAGGGACACAGTGAGTGTTGCAGTGTGTTCCCAGTGTGCAGGGGACACACTGGGTGTGGCACACATCACTGCATTCATGAGCAGAACCACTGTCCACTACACATCACTTAGGAAACTGCCCTGCAGCCTTGGAGCAGAGGGTCACAGGCTGGAGACAGGTGCTTTGAACCATTCAGACACCTTAGACACAGCACCACACCATAGTATTCCCATTCTGAAGTTGGGTGGTTTACAGAGCTGTGTGTCATTCCATTCTGTTTAGAATAGTTCCATTACTCCAAAAGAGAAACTGTATCCTTGGCAGAGAACATCATGCCCTGCTGCCTCCCAGATCTGGCCACCCTTACTCTGCAGATGTGGCCGTGCTGGACATTCATGTGTGACCTCTTTCACAGTGTGATGTGCACAGCTGATGAGGTGATCCATGCTGCAGCTCATATGCACCTCCGCCCTCTTATTGCTCAATACTATGGTTCTTGGATGTGCTCTATTCTGCTGACTGCACACAGCTGCTCAGAGGTTGGGCTGTTCACAGGCTGCTGCAATGAACACGGCTCTGGAGGACTCCTTGTCTTTAAGTCTCTTGGGCCTGGGCCTATGTTAGAACCACTGGTTCAGAAGTGTGACTTGATTTAATCTGTGATGTGGGGGGCATCCGTGGGTACACTGATTGAGGTCAGAAGAGGACACCAGGCATACTGCTCTGTGTCTCTCTGCCTCACGGCCCTAGGTTGAGGTGTGGTGCCCAGCAAACCCGGAGTCTCTGCTTCTCTTTAGCCCACAGTGCTGACGTGGGCCATGAAATCTGTCCTCATGCTAGGGAAGTGAGGATTCTCAGGCGTAGCACCAACTCCCAGCCCTCCTCCCAAGCAGGATCCAATGGTGGGCACTAACGACTCTCACTGAATCTATGAAGTACACTCTTGGCATCTGTGGCTCTTTCACTGCTGAGATGGCATTCAGCCTTGGAGAAACTCTCCTCTCCTCCTTCCCCTTTGCTGGTGAAGGTGCTGTGCCCGCTCAGCAAACCCTCTATACCAAGTCACAGTCCCAGCAACTCACCAAGACCTCTTAGAAGCTGGTGGCTCCTTATGTCATGGAAAATGCCCTACATTTATGGCTTTAGGTAAGCTGGATGCTAGGGGTCTGTTAGGCCATGACATCAACAATGGTTTCCTCACAGTCACAGGGTTCTGTTCTGTTCATCCTTGCAATTGTACTACCTTCTGTATCTAGAGGAGCTCCAAGGGATCCAACCCCCTCTTCAGACCTGTCTCAGGTACACCACACAGACACACAAGCACATTCGCAAAATTAAAAATAACCATTTTGTTTAAACTGTAAGACAAGTTGTAGAATATTCCCTTACATTGTGTAAAAATATGCTGCTGTGATTGGTTTAATAAAGAAGCTGACTGGCCAACAGCTGAACAGGATAAAGTTAGATGGGAGAATTCTGGGAAAAAGAAAGATGTGGTCAGGGGAGTCACCAACCAGACGGAGAGGAAGCAAGATATGCTGGAGAGATAAATGCCATGAGCCTCATGGCAGAATGTAGTTTAATGGAAATGGGTTAATTTAGGTTGTAAGAGCTACTTAGCAATAAGCCTGAGCTATCGGTCAAGCATTTAGAATAATATTAAGTCTCCATGTTGGTTATTTGGGAACTGGCAGGCAGGAGAGAAAAATCCACCTATAACCAATTCCTTACTAAGTGAACCAACCTGGAAAGTGAGACGGTGGCCGTCTCTGTCCCAGAGCTGCCACAAAAGGACAATGATTGAAAACTGAATGACACATCTGCTCTTGACATGACCTTTCATGCTATAACATAAACTCTTATCATGCAAAATTTCTTATACATTGAAATTTTTATGATAGATCACTCAGATTTTTTAATTATACTGTTTTAAATTTATTGTTAAATCAATACCATCTCTTTTATACTAAAAAAGAACCCACAACCTAAAATTCTTGCCAGGTCAAATGTTTTACCTTGAATTCAAACTGTTTAACTACAAAACAGCGGTCAGAAAAGAGGCAGTTTACTGGTTCCTTCCCATTATAAAATCGTTTATGACATTTCAAGTGGTCAGCCACCAGAAAGGTTAATTCCTGCTTCTGCGGTCAGGCTTTACTCCAGGTGATTGCTCTGGGCTGTCCTGTTTACCTATTCCCAGCAAAGCACACTGCTCCGTGTACACACTCGCTGTTAAGAACATATTGACTTGCTGCCTGCCCTGCTGGAGTCAGGCATGAAGACAGAATTCCAAATGTCACATTTGCAGACGGCTGGGTCACTTAGGTGCTGTCAACCTGAGAATCCCTAACATATAAACTGGACTTGATTACCACACAGATGAGCACACCAGAGGGGCAAATTTCTAACCATTTTTAAGATTCATGCAGAACTTTAAAACTGAGTTATATCTGTAGAGTGAAAACTCTCATTTAAAAGCCTTTCTTTTAATAAACTCAAACTGGTGCTACTAACAGCCCATAGACGCTGTGATCACTCTAGCCTCACACTCAAAGTCTTCACACTTCCTGCTGGGATTCAAACGGGAACATACACAGTAAGGGTTGAGGCCCACGATGCCATTTACCCAGAACACACTGGTTCTGAAAAACCTAGCAAAAGCAAATCTTGTTCCTTTCACAAGGATCTAAGGGAAAGCAAACCTGGTGTATTATCTGAGCCACCGGGAGCTGTTCAGCGTACTGCAGAGGTTCCGTGAGCTCCTCCTCCATCCTGTCTTCCATGTCGCTGGAAAGCAAGCAGAGAACACACTCAGGCAAGTGGCCATGGTGAATATGTAGAAAATGTGCTTACCGCAGACCTAATGTAAGTTTTAGAAATAATATTTATTAATTCTTTTGGGGAAACTACCCAACAAAATGACCCTGATTTAAATGATGTGACCAGAAATGTATTCAGACTACACGTACTTGTGTGATGAAATCGGCTAATGTCACTTACTGTCCTGGTCCCCTCTCTCGCTCCAGACTGAACACTTAAGAACCTGTTCGTGAGGTCTGGGCTCTCAGCAGGGCAGTTGCTGTCTTTCTCGCCTTCTCTGTGCACCATTCCACCGGCCCTGCCACTCCGGATCTTGGGTTTTGCCTGTGATTACTCCTGCCTGTCTGGACCAGCCTCTAATCCCGCTGTCTGCTCTCTCTTCTACACGTACAGATTCATTTAAAACCACCGAACTGCATCACTCATGTCTCAAAGATAGAAACTGTGTCACGTGCTTCTCTACTTACGGGTGCTCACCATCTATCTTGGTAAGGGGGAAATACACCCAACTTTTAGTTTTAAATTTAAAATGATATACAACATCCACACAACACAGGTTGAAACAATATGAATTACACGACATGGAAACGCAGATTTCCGATTGTTTGATTAGTATTTTTAGTGAGCATATCAACTCCTGAGCTTCCCTGTGACATTTTCACACACAGATCATTTTCCTTTGTTTCTGCCTCTCACTACCCTCACCTGTATCCCCTTGTGGGCCCTGCTCCTATGTGGCCCTCAATTTCACTTTCAGACACACACATTCCATCACTCCCTCATCACCCTGATTCCTGGAAATCAGAAATTTTAAAAAGAAAAAATCTTTCCAAGTAGTCTGGTAAAATGTATTTTTTCAGTTATTGACTATCTTAGAAATAAACCCAGAACTTTAGACAGTAAGACCTAACTGCAGCAGACATTCTTTTACCCCTTTCCAGTGAGCTCTACATCAGTGTATCAAAATTAGATTTTAAAACCCCAAACTTGGACTTTTCCTGGAAAACATAGGTATAAGCTTGGCAAGGATGAGGGTTGTAGCATCTTTCTCAAGAGGGGGGTTGGTAGGGAAGCCAACGCCAACGCACCTGGAGTAAAGACAGGTGACTCTGTCCACAGAATGCCATAGGGAGGAGAGGAGGAGGTCACTGCTAGAAGTCTGGAGGACGGCGGGTGTGGGGAGGAGGTCTACTGGCTCATGGGGAGAGCTTCCTGAAACTCTGACACAGCTCAAGGAAAAAACAGGGAACACACTCAAGATCCAGGCATAGGCCAGGACTTCCTGAGAGGACCCTGGTTGATGGGTAAGCGAGACCAACAAGGACAAGTGGACTCTCATGAAATTTAAAACCACTTCCATTCATCAAAGAAAGAGCTGGGTGAAGAGGCAGCCTAGGAACAGGAGAGAACCTTGGCCAACTATACAGCCAACAGGATTAGTGCCGAAGACAAACGAAAGCCCAACACCCTAAACAGGCAACGAACAAGAGAGTTCTCCAAAGAAGCACAAATGAGCAATAACTATTGCAGAAGGTGCTCGATGTCCTTCGCATCAGAGAAACACTAGATAAAACTATGTTGGGAGCCCAGCTCCACCAGGAAGCGACGAGCATCAAGACACAGACTGCACTGATGTTGGTGGAGTGTAAACCTACAGCTACCAGGGAATCAGTGTGGAGGCTTCTCCGGAACAAAAGCTGCCACTGTGCACAGCACAGCAATGACCATGGAGAGTCCTCTGGGTGTGCCCAGAAGTGCTGGAGGTGGGGCGTGTGTGTGTGTGGGGGGGGGGGGGACTACTGCTAAACGGAACCCACACGTGGCCAGGGGACACAGAGAAAGCAAGCTGGGGCTACGCTCGAGGCCTCCCCCAGCTGGAGCTGCACTCAAAGCTCCCCCCCACAAGCTGGCTAGCCTGAGATTGCCCGAAGGTGCTCAGCAGCTCCCCTCAGTGTGCTGCAGCGGTGGCAGGCCTGGCTTGGGGCGCTGACAGACACCCGTCAAAAGCCTGTGGCCCCAGTGTGGAAGTTACAGTTGCATGCACATGCCCATCAAATGCCCTTCTACGGAGCCATGCTGACACCACAGACTAGGCCAGAGAAGTTTCTCTCTGCAGCGGTAGCGGTGACTGCACGGATTCAGAACTAGTCAAAGAACAGAGAACAGGTGACAGTTTGGATGGGACACCCTGCAGTCTCAAACTCCCATAGCTGTGGCTACTGCAGCACACCACAGGCTGGGTGTGGGAACGGCCGGGGCTGCCCGGGACATAGAGGCAGCTAAAGGTTGAAGGGAAGCAGAGACACTCTCCACAGTCGTGTGCAGCTGTCTACATTGTTCCTGTTGGACTGTCTGGAGGTTTAAGCATCATGACCAGCTCATGTCTGAGTGCCCCAGTACTTACCCATCAGTTACCTATCTGAGTATATCCCTCACAAAGTCGCTCGGCGTGTAATTCCCCGCGAAGCTCAGGCACCACTGATGGGGCCTCTGCAATGGTTCACTGCTGTCTCAGAGCTAAAACAACCACTCGAGTTTCCGGAAATGCGTGTTTGCTTCCCCACGCACACTGATTCCGGGACCCAGCTGGGGCCCTGTCTACTGAGACAATCTTCAATGCTTTTAACTTCTACTATTTCTGTATTATTTTTCTTAGACGTAGGCCCAGGGGGCCTTTTCCTCCCACTTTATGTTGAGGTGAGGTCTAGAACGTTCTTTGAGGGTTGATAGTCTAGACAATTCTCTCAGGGACACAAGAGACAGGACCTTTCGATTCAAAAATTCTGTTTCAGCTCCAAGAAGTTTTCTGTTGTAGTTTGTAATGATCTTTCTGTTTATTTTCCGTTTGGTTTTCTAGCTGAAACACTAAACTGAACACAATGGACCGTCTCTAACTCCCTCTCATATCCAGCGCTATTTTCCTGACTCTCATTTCTATTCTCTCTTCCTCTCACTGAACTTCTGGTAATAGATACCGTCTCTTGGGGAGCTTGTAATTTAGTTTTTGCTTCTGAGGTGATTTTGTCTTTTTTGTCGATTTCTTCCCAGAGTTCAGTCAGGTTCTATTTCAGACATGCCTGTTTATCTCTTTCTGTCGTGACTTTTTAGCTGATGGCCAGGGCATTCTTTCTCAGCACAGACACTTGTTTAAGGTGTTGTTCAGATTCCAGGGCTGCCGTCTGCTCTTCCTCCAGTATCTCTTTTATTATCCACGCACCCCCTCTCTCTCTCGTGTGTGTGTGTGTGTTCTCGTATGTGCAGGTGCATATATGTGATACTCAAATGTCACTCCTCAGGAGCTGTCCAGCAAGTTTTTAGAGACAGCTTCTCACTGGCTTGGGCTTTCCTGCTGACTCAGACTGGCTGGCCAGTGAACCCAGAGGTCCACTTGTGTCTGCTCACCACTGCGGGAATTACAGCACCAACCCAGCTTCTTTATCGAGGGTCCTGGGGCTTGAACTCAGGACCTTACAATTGCATGTGAGCACTGTGTGACTAAGCCATGCCCTCAACCCTTCTTTCTATTTTTGCTTTCAATCACTGAAGGACTCTACATATATAACAAAATGTATATAAATCATATATTACATATAATTTAATAAGGTTTGATCTTAATTTCCTATTTTATTCTTGATTAACTTTGTATTTTTCTGAATTCTTCTTCTGGTGAGGATCATTTACATTGGCTTTCCTGAGATTAGTAATGGCGATTTGTCTGGAGTTCAAGGAAGAGAGGAGAAGAACTAGTTTACAGAGGTTCTCGGTTCAAGTGTGCCCTCTTCTGTAGCTACAGTGAACTGCAGTTTCTGTAAAATTGTATTGCCGGCCCCAGTGGTGGGACACAGGGCTATTTTTAAATGCTCCCTTGCTTCCATAAAGCCTCTCCATACCTGCAACTGCCTCCTTCTTTTCCACCACATCAACACTTCAACAGCACTGCGTGCCCACCTCCTCCTCCCCAAGTCTTCTGCTCCCAGAGAACCACTTTCCCAGGGGGGGCACAGCCCCCAAGCTCTCTAAGATGCTTATACCCGAGGAAACCACAGTGCTCGTTTCACCTTACACACAGATGGGTTTTGTGTTATTTTTTTGTTTGTTTGTTTTGTTTTTTTGATTTTCAAGACAGGGTTTCCCCGTAGCTTTTGGTTCCTGTCCTGGAACTAGCTCTTGTAGACCAGGCTGGCCTCGAACTCACAGAGATCTGCCTGCCTCTGCCTCCCGAGTGCTGGGATTAAAGGCGTGCACCACCACCGCCCGGCTAACACACAGATGAAACCCCAAAAGAATGATTTTTCTCTTCCAACTCATTTCAAGTCCCTTCCGTAAAGTCCCTTCTTTTTATTTTACATTTTGAGAGTTCTTATATTGAGGAATATGTGCACATTGTGTGAAAATGTATTGCTGTGATTGGTGTAATAAAAATCAGAACGGACAACAGCTAGGCAGGAGGTGCAGCTGGGATTTCTGGGGAGAGACCAGCAGACATGTAATGTCAGAGGTCCTCCTGTATATGTGTCACTTTTATTGGTTAATGAATAAAGAAGCTGCTTGGGCCTATGGCAGAGGAGAATAGAGCTAGACAGGAAAACTAAACAGAATGCTGGGAGAAAGTAGGTCAGAGAGACACCATGTAGCCACTGAAGGAGAAAGATGCCACAACCTCATGGTGACACACATATTAATAGATGGGTTAACTTAAGATATAGGACTTAGCTAGCAGTATGCCTAAGTGATTGGCCAAGCAATGTCTTAATTAATACAGTTTCTGTGTGATTATTTTGGGTCTGGGCAGCAGAGAATGAACAAGCAGTCTCTGCCTACAGATATGGAGGAAGCAGAACGGGCAGTACATGGCAGGAGAAGATTAATAGAAATGGGTTAATTTAAGTTATAAGAGTTGGTTTAAAACAAGCCTAAGCTAAGGCTGAGCTTCATAATTATTAAGTCTCCATGTCATTGTTTGAGAG